CCTTCGCTGTTTCAGAATCAGCAATCTTCTCAAACACATTCACATCCACACATTGATGGATGTAGAACAACGCTTTCTGATCTTTCTTCCTCAGCACCTTCTGTTCTATCTTCTGGTCCTCTGTTGCATCTGCTTCTAATAGATTATAGCCATCAGCAACAAGTTCTAACACATCTTGAGAGCCGAATAACACGCGCATCTGGATCTTCCAACGATTCCAGTTTTTGCCATCAAATACTGGAAGCTTGGAATGAATATCTCCGTTTCCGTTCATATTCTACCTTGTGCAATTTACGCAGAAACTCAAAAAAAAATCAATGTTTCCCAAATTCCAGAGTTTCTAACCAGGAGCTCTAGATACCAATTGTTGGAGCACAAGGAAGATAAAAGGAAAAAAGGAATATTTACTGATCGCCTCAAAAAAATAAGGATTTACAATGAATTATAATAACCTACTCCACTAGGCTATTTATACACATAAATTAAATCTAAAATATATCTTCTACAAAGATATAAGAAGATCTAAGATATATATCTTCTAACAAATATATAAGCAATCTAAAAGATATTCCTAAATATAAATTAATATCTAATTATAAAATCTAAATTAATTCTAACATGGTTTGGGTTATATAATTTCTAATCAAATAATTAAATTGGATTATATCTCAATATATCCCCTTATAATCCTAGTTGTTGAATACAAACTAATCATAATCGATCTGAAGTATTCTTAATATCTTTCTAAAATTCAGGAATCTATCGATCTTCAATCCTTTGGTGAAAATTTCAGCCAAATGTGCTTCACTTGAGCAATGTCTCACTTCAAGTTCACATCGATTTACCTTCTCCCTTAAGAAGTGAAATACATATTCGATGTGATTACTCCTTCCATGTAGAACTGGATTCTTTACAAGATTTATGGCTGACTTATTGTCGATCTGCAACTCCAGAAGTTTCTTCACTTTGTTCTCCATTTCTTCCAGCACATATCTGATCTAAATTACTTGAAACACAACATATGATCCTGTTATATATTCAGACTCACATGATGATAATGCCAACATAGGTTACTTTCTAGAGCACCATGAGATTGGGACACCAAATACTTGAACGAAATAACCAATTGTACTTCTTCGATCTTTCTTATCTCCATACTAATCAACATCTAAATAGCATTTAATCACAACTTTTTTGCCTTCATAACTTCGTGAAAAAAGAATTCCTACAGTTTATCGATCCTTTTAAGTATCTCAGGATTCTTCTTGCAACCTTCATGTGTGACGCCCTTGGTTCACTCATGTATTTGCTCACTAATTCGATTGAGAAACCTATATCAGGCCGACTGTTGCACACATATCTCAGAGATCCGACTATTTGTTTGAACAAAGTGACATCAACTTTGTCTTTCTCTCCATGCTTCTCCAACTTCAAATTTGGTTATATAAGTGAGGATGCAAGATTTGAATCATCCATTTTGAATCTCTTGAGTATTTATTTGACATACCTTATTTGATGCAACACCATTCCTTGCTTAGTAATTTGAAATTTCATGCATAGGAAATATAACAAGTTTCCCTCACTTGACATTTAAATTCCATCTTCATTAGCTCTTTGAACTTCGACAAGTTCTCCATGCTATTTCCAATTACCAGCAAGTCATCAACATATAAGAAAATGATGGTTATATCTTGTTCCATAACCTGTACATAGACACCATACTGATACTTGCATTCGATGAGTCCTAATTTGACTAAGTATGAGTCGATTTTCTTGTTCCATGTCCTAGGCGCCTGTTTAAGACCATAGAGCGTTTTGTACAACCTGCATACTTTCCTTGCTTCCTTCCGTATCACAAACCCAAGAGGTTGTGTGACATATACCTCTTCATCTAAAAGACCATTAAAAATTCTAATTTCACATCTAAGTGAAATATCAACCAACTTTGCTTACATGCTAAGGCTACCACCAATCTGGCAGTCTCTAATCTTGCTATTGGTGCATATGCTTCAAAGTAGTCGAGTGCTACTCTCGAAATAAATCGTTGAGATTCTAATCTAGCCTTATGTATTTCTATCGACCCATCAACATTGTGCTTTAACTTGAATACCCACTTCACTTTGATAGCTTTTGTGTGTGCTGGAAATTCGACTAACTCATATGTGTTATTTCTTTCGATTGCTTGTAACTCTTTGATAATAGATGACTTCCATTGTTTATTATTTAAAGTCTCACTATAGTTGATTGGTTCAACACCTGCAAGTAAAGCAAAATGAACTAATTCTCCATCTGGTGTGACCTCATCATCACCAACCACTTCACAGTCTGGAAGCCTTGTTGGAGGACTCTAGTTCTTCGCGGTCTTTGTCTTGTGCTAGCCACTCCCTCTTTGACTTCGACTATGTCTTGAATGTCAGCAAATTTTTAGACTCTGACTTCGACTGGAATATTGATAATTGCTTCAACTTCGACCTCATTACTTGCTTCACCGAAAAATTAGCTCATCAATGGCTTGTCAATTGCATCACCAAAATTTTAATCCCACGAAGGATTCTCATCAATCACAATATCTCGACTCGGTACGATAGTCTTATTAATTGGGTTGAACAGCCTGTATGCACCAATTTTATGATATTCTACCAAAATCATAGGTTCACTTTTGTCATCAAGCTTTCTTCTTCTCGCATAAGGTACATGCTTGTAACAAATAGAGCCAAACACCTTCAGATGACTCACTGATGGTCATTTTCCACTCCATAATTCTTAAGGAACCTTGTTCTTCAATTTCTTGGTTGGACACCTATTCAGAATATAAACAACAGTGGTGACTGCTTCACCCCATAAAGATTTTGGCAGATTCTTCTGCTTCAGGATGCATCTCGCCATATTCAATAAGGTCATATTCTTCTTTCTACTATTCCATTATGTTGAGGAGTATAAGGAGTAATTATCTCATAATCAATGTCATGTTCTATACATAATTCTTCAAACATCTTTGATGTATATTTGCCACCTTCATTTGTTCACAAAACCTTGATATTCTTTTCACTATGGTTTTTGACAAGCGTTTTGAATCTCTTAAAGATTTCAAATACTCCGTCCTTTTGCTTGATCACATATATATATATCTAAAGTTTTGACTATACTCATCGATAAATGAGATAAAGTACTTGTTTCCATCAATGATATGATCCTTTAAGGGGCCACATACATCTGAATGTACTACTTCTAGTATGCAAGAGGATCTCATTGGCATAGTCAAAATGAAAGACTTTCTGAATTGCTTCCCTACTAAGAAACCTTCACAGAGCTTGTTGGGCATCACAAGACTTAGTGTATCATATCTTGAGTGATCAATTGATTGAGTGACCTAAAATTCAGATGGTCAAACCTCAAATGCCATAACCAACTACTCTTGTGGCCGACAACTATTTTTAGATATTGTACCTCAGTCGAATTGATCATGGTCTTAAATTCCCTATTCTTTGACATAGGAGATTTTAAGACAAGATTATTTTAAGTGTCGAACAATTCCAAGGCTCCATCTTTCATAATCACTGATAAATCTTTTTTGACCAATTGTCCAATACTTAACAGATTGCACTTTATTCCAGGTATAGAGTACATCTTTGATCATAACTTTTTCTCTATTTCTCCTTTAAATAACTATGTCACCAGTACCCTCTGCTTGCAACGAGCTACTATCAACAAGTTTGACTTTGATCTTCTTCGACTCGTCGAAATCTGCTAAACACACTTTTCTACCAGTCATGTGTTTCGAGCAACCTGTATCGAGAAATCAGATTTTAGTGTCGACATGCTCATCTGCAACTACAACCATAACCACCATATCTTCAGAATCATCTAAAACTTGACGTGTAAGATACGCTCATTCGTCTTTGCCTTTTGTCACACCCTTGTCTTTCTTGTACCAATAATTCTTGGCCAAATAACCCTGCTTTTCACAGTTATAATATTACACACCTTTTTTTCTCTTCTTAACCTTTCTGATATGAATTCCCTTCTCTTCTTTTCGAAAATTCAAAAGTCCTATTATCGACCTTATACTTTTGAGGAATCACCTAAAACTTATTTTTTAAAGTTTTGTCTCCTTTACCTTTAAACTTGTTTGAACCACCATACTCAAAATCTTAACTAAAATTTGAATTTGGACTACATAGCTTTTTTAAGCAAATAACTAACTTGTATTGTATCGGAAGAATAATAACCATCCTATCTACTTGTAATGATTTGTTTATTCTCGACGGTAAATCAAATTTATAAATAGTCTTTGGTGCTAAACTTGTTTTCATCCTATTAATTAGAATATACACTATCTATCTATATAAAGTGAAAAGTTGAAAGAATTAAAATTCAAGAACTCAAAACGCGATAGGGAAGGTAATTGTCACTTTTATCTTTCACATGATTGTTATGTTGTTTTCATTTGTTTTGTTATTATGAGGAATGAAGAACATAGAATCAATAATTGTGATGTGACTTTTATTTTAGGCATTTAGTTTATTAATCTTGATTGTTCTATTGTTAATATGAACGTAAAAATCAATAGAATTAATCTATTGATGATCACGATATATATCTAAACCTAAAACAAAATATTCAAAAACTTCCATCTCCTCCGCAAGAGTGGCATGCATTGATTCTCTGACATTTATAATCTTCCAGATAAAGGGTAGAGGTGTCGCCATTGCATGAACCTTTGATGTGTCATCTAGCACACAAATGAACGTGGCAAGAGCATAACATGCATGCTCAATATTTCTATCCTAAGACAACACGTATAGTAATAACCGTATAACACCCTCAACAAATGAGAGAGAAAAAAAAGAATTAAACACATCCTATCTTAAATAGTACTACTAATAACCAATGCTTAATATGTATTTGATATATACCTCATGCTATCTAGCTCTATATTTTCCTACTATAACAGCTTTCACATTTCTATCAAAAAGTATCAATTAAGAAAAATAGGAAACATGCAGAATCAGTTGAAAGATCACAATCACACAGTACAAATGCAACACAGCAACAGCATGAAGCTAAAGGAAAAAAAGGTGAGGGATTTGATGGTGAATAAGAAGAGACTAGTGGAAATACCGTACACAGCTTCACTAGCTCAAACAATGAACACACTTGTAGCAAACAAAGTAGTAGCGGTTCCTGTGGCTGCGCCGCCCGGTCAGTGGATTGGAGCGGGAGGGTCAATGATTGTTGAGTCTGATAAACAAACAGGAGCTGTAAGGAAACATTATATAGGAATGGTTACTATGCTAGATATTGTTGCTCATATAGCTGGTGATGATCATTTGAGTAACAGTGATTATGTTATTGAAGATCTTGATCAAAGAATGTCTGTTCCTGTTTCTTCCATCATTGGTCATTCCTTTGAAGGTCTTAGCTTGTGGACACTCAACCCTAATACCAGGTTCTTCAATTTTTCATATCTCTTTATGTTTTGTTTATATGAGAGACGTAGGTACATTTGACCGAACGAGCTCGGTGTTTTCTTTTCTGGTTAGTCTGTTAGATTGTATGGAAGTGTTGAGCAAAGGAGTGCATCGAGCTATGGTACCTACTGACAGGCAAATAGAGGACACAAACATATCAGCTGGAGTTGAACTAGTTGAATCTTCTTCAAGTTACCAAATGCTGACTCAAATGGATGTGCTTAGGTTCTTGAAAGATCATAGAAATGAACTACAAAGCACTCTACATTCACGTACTGTTCAAGATTTGGGAGCTATCACTGAGAGGATTTTCGCTATCACAGACCGAACAAAACTCATTGATGCCATCAAATGCTTGAGAGCTGCTATGTTAAATGCTCTTCCTATTGTTAGAGCTTCTGATGTTTGTGAGGATGATCACAAACAACACATCAATGCAAGTTATCTTTTACTTACCCCTTTCACAAGCAACATATTAGTTGATTAATGATTGTTTAATTAATGGTTGCAGGGAAGATGCAGGAAACTTGTTGGTACAATTTCTGCAACTGATTTAAGAGGATGTTACATAAACACATTGAAATCATGGTTGGGAGCAAGTGCATTGGCCTTCACTGAACAAATTGCAACTAGTCCTTTGTACACAGCATCTGATACACAGAATGATATTGGTAACTCTACAAGGGAGCTTGTGACATGCTATGCTGGTTCCACTTTGTCTGAGGTAATTGACAAGGCGGTTGCGAAACATGTTCATCGGGTTTGGGTGGTTGATCAAGAGGGTTTGCTTATAGGTGTTGTGTCTCTTAGTGATGTAATTAGAGTTATAAGGCAATCTATGATATTAGATTCAGATGCATGAATAGGTTTGTTAGAAGAAACATTTTGTGCTTATAGGTGTTGTCTTTTGGAGCAGTTATATTATAAAAAGAAACTAGTTTCATGTTATAAAAAAGCAAGTTAAATGAACCACATGGTTTGCATTCATTAAATGATTTCCCATGGAATGGAATTGATAAAAATGGTTAATCAAATTTTTTTATAAGCAAGATTTCATTACCCAACTAGAGTACAGGGATACTCTAGTCCAACCACACAAAAACAAAACCAGTTACCTCCTAATCAAACAGTTTAAAGGAGATAAAATTTAATCATACAAATTACAAACAGGGCTACTATTGTTTCCTATAACAGTTAAGTCAGTTAAGTTATTATACATTTAATCAGAAATGTTTAAGAGTTTCTCCAATCCACCTAAAGAATTTCAACTTTTATGATTCTTTCCAAGAAAATTATGGATTTATCTTTTGAAGACAAAAGATTAAGTGTTGGAGAAGTTTAAAGAATCTTAGAGAGGCAGACAGGCGAGAAGCTTAAATGTGTTTGTTTTGATAATGGTGGTGAGTATTGTAGACCATTTAATTTCTATTGAGTATTATGGTATTGTATATGAAAAGATTCCTCTTAAAATTCCTCAATTGAATGGTATTGTAGAGAGGATGAATCGAATATTAATTGAGAGAGTAAGATGTATGCTCTCTAAAGCTAAGTTATCGAATAATTAATTATTAGCGTGAGACATTTTACACTGTTGTGTATTTTCTTGATCTCACTCTTACTGTTGTTTTGAACAGTGAAGTTTCAGACAAGATTTGGTTTGGAAAGAATGTCAAATATTATCATTTGAGAGTCTTTGGGTGTAAGGATTTTGTGCATATTCTAAAAGATAGAAAATCCAACTTGGATGCAAAGTTAAAATAATGTATATTCATCGGCTATGGGCAAGATGATCCTGTATAGAAGAAGCTTATTCAAAGTCGCGATGTAATATTCATGTAAGATCAAAATATTGAAGACATTGATAAGATAAAGAAGAATACACCCAAGAAAGATATCAGTTTGTCTAATATTGATCCAATTCGATTACCTAATCATAATCTAAATGTTATTGGTGGTGATGATCAAAATCGCGAGTCATATGATTATGTTGATGATAAAAAACTTGGAGATAAGATAAATATTCTAATGATGATGATGAAGGCGAGAGCGATATGTCACAAGATGAGAATCTTGGTAAAGCTTCAGAATCATCTCAAATTCAATTTAGGAGGTTTACCAGGCAGAGACAACCTTCTACAAGGTATAATTCTAATGGATAGTGTCCTTGACTGATAAGGATGAACCTGAGTATTTACAAGAGGCCATGGAAAGTGATGAAAATCAAAAGTGGTTGGATGCAATACATGAGATGAAATCATTGCATGATAATCACACTTATAATTTTGTGAATTTGCCTAAAGGTAAAAAGGCTTTGGAAAGCAGGTGGATTTATAGAGTTAAACATGAAAGAAACTCTAAGTCTCCAAGATATAAAGCCAAATTAATGGTGAAAGGTTTCTGTCAAAGAAAGGGTGTTGATTTTAATGAGATTTTTTCACCTGTTGTAAAGATGTTATCAATAAGAATTATGTTAAGTTTAGATGTTACTCTTGATTTAGAGGTTGAGCAAATGGATGTGAAAACGATTTTCCTTCATGGTGATTTGGAGGAAGAGATCTACATGAAATAACCCGATGGTTCTCAAGTTAAAGGAAAAGAAGATAGTGTTTGTAGATTGAGAAAGAGTCTTATATGGATTGAATCAAGCTCCAAGCCAATGGTACAAAATGTTTGAGTTGTTATGAGTGATTGATCCGTTGCTACGCAGATCAAAATAAGTAATTTTAAAAACTGTAGATAACGACAATGGCTCGAATCGTATCACAAGGATTCTTGTATGAATTAACCAATTGAAATAGATTTGGAGGGTTTATGGTTTAGGGATCGACTAAGAAAACATAGCAAAAGTGATTATAAAAATAAGCGATTACTAAATAAGTTAATTTGTCGGTCCGACTTCCAACTTATCATCGGTTATTACAATTCTAATTCCCTAAGCGGTTCCAATTCCTATTGTATTGCAATATTTATGAAACAAGCATCGACAATACTACATGGATTATATTCCTAATCCCCGTATTAAGCAAACGGTTCACTGAATTAAACAAACGGTTACAGACAATGCGAATTAACGAAAAATCTAAGTTAAACGTGATTAAGATAAGGAACATGCACAGACGAATTTAATTCAAACTATTCTATAAGAAACGAATTAAACAAACGAAAATCATAGAACAAATTAGAAAGGAACAAAATTAAATTGAAAATAATAATAACCTCAAAGTTTTTTGGAATTCAAATTCGGCAGATTAACCCTAAGGATTAGTTCTCCATGATCGATTCGTACAAAGTTGTATTTTATCGTTGTGTAATGTTACTGTAGCAGGGAATTTGGTTTTTATATTACAAGGTAAATCGGGTCAAAATGCAAACCGACCCGAAAACATAAAGTAAACATTCCAATTCTAATTATTTTAACTAGTCTGAAACTTCAACGAATTATTCGAGACTCCTGCACTCCAATTCAACTTTTGGCTTCAACATGAGAGTTGTATCTCTTTCTCTCAGATTTCTAACTTATATCAGAATGCGTAAAACGGCATCTCGTATCTTCAGTTATAATTTTTATAGTAAAAGTTGCTTATGTTGAAAATAAAATACGAAAATTAAATAAAGGAAAAAATAAACTAAAATATTAAAACACAATAAAATATTAAAACACAATAAAATAATAAAAATAAACTAGAGAAATGCCTAAGTACAATCATAGAAGAATATGCATTAAAATATACTGATCAAATTCTTCCACACTTGAATTTTTGCACTCCGAGCAAAATGATAACTTCAAAAGACAAAATTCAAAACAAAAACAAAACAGAGCATGTATTTTCAAAAGTATTCAAGATACAAGGTACAAGCAAAATTTCAAGTCTAAGCTTCAAGAATATGATGTTAGTAAGTAATTCTTTGTGACATGAAAAGGGTGAGATAAATCCTAAGGGGTACTAGGCTAAAAATCAAAGGGTTAAAAGAAAATTGAAAGGGTTACAGGAGTTAAACTACATGATACTTCAATTACTTTCAAACAATAACCTCACAACTGATTTCTGTTCTCTTTTTCCTTTTATTCTTCTTTTTTCTTTTTCTTTTAGAAGGACTATGTATTGACATCCTTTTCTATTTTTTTTTCATTTTTCATTTTTATTTATTTTCTTTTTCTATTTTTTTCTTTTTCTGCCAACATTTGGAACATCACAACAAAATTACAATGCCAATGTTCAACCCCGCACAACTTCATATAAGACTCTTTCAACCCTTGATTAGGGTGATAATTTGTCTTTCACTTTTTGGTTTGTAATGAGTTAATCACAAAAAAAGGATAAATAGGCTCAAAGGAGTTTTCAAACAAAGGATGATATTGTTCAGGGTTGGATTTTGGGCTAAGTGGCTAAAAATAAGACAAAAGGAGTTGTCTTTATCATATCAATGTGTATAAGTAAACAAAAAGTATCAACAAGAGTCAATTCAAATTCTAGAGACTAACAGACATGAGTGAATCACACAAGAAAGAAAAAAATTGATTTTTTTATGGTATTCATATAAGGCTCAAAATCTCACAAGGGTTAATGATTTACTACTAATGATATAAAATTCAGAGTTTAGTGTTACCTATCATACTAAGAATGCACATCACAAAACAAAGAAATGATTCCCTCCCCTACACTTAAAACATGCATTGTCCTCAATGAAAGGACATAACCATTGAAATTCTGGTAGGTCAGAACTCAGATGTCTTATAGGATGTCGGGACATCTGTTCTGACAGAAACAACATGGAAAGGCATAAACAATATAAAACAGTACTGAAAAGCATAAACAACACAAGCATTGTTAACCCAGTTCGGTGACAACAATACCTACTCTGGGGCTATCAAGCTAGGAAGGAAATTCACTATCAGTAGTACTAATTCAAAGATAAACTACCCCGTTTACAACTTAAAACTTAATCCATATCCAATGTAACTTCTATTTAGGAACTCCTATATATGAGTATATCCACTCAGTTCCAATCACCACAACGATATCTAACAGTCCCAGTCTCAGTTATTGTATCGACGTCCTTCCACCTAAATGAAGATCACACTTCAAATACAAGCAAACCCCTTAATCAAGACATCCCTTAGTTAAGAATAACATACTTGATCTTGCTTCACGGCTTTGATCAAGAACAATACTTAGAGTTGCTTAAAAGCTTCCTCCAAGAATAATACTACCTCTTACTTAAAAGCTTCAAGGAGAAAAATAATAGACTACAACTCTATAACATCAGTCCAACTCACAACCGGGTGGAACACTCAACCAACTCTCCTAAAATGGTACAGACTCAGACTTAATAACTACATCTTTTCAATTCTCAACTGGTGCAAAAACTAGGTAAAAACACTTCTATTTATGACCTTTTTCGAATTAGATTTGAGCTTCAAAAACGCAGTAGAGAGACTACACAAAGTCTGCAAAAAATTCTCCAAGAAAATAAGCCTTCAATCAAAGCTTTCCTAAAATATATCCATATTTAGAACTTTGAATACCATATTGTGATACGGTTGCAAAACCGACTGTTATATACTGGTTTTGCATTTTTTGTTCGCAAATGTCACGGTAAGCAAGAGTCGCCACTGACTTTTCTTTTATCCAACAAAGGAAAGGGTGAAAAGAACAGAAAAAAATACCTTTTTCGAGATTTTCTGAGTAGGGGGTAGATTATGGAAAGGGAAGGTGTTAGCACCCTTTTCATCAATATTTTTCCACGGGATCTTAGGTACTTGCTCATTTTTGAAAAATTTTGTGTTTATGTGTTTTGAAAGTTTTTGTTTGCTTTATGATAACTCTTGTATCAGTCCTCAAGAGTGTGATAAAGCGTTTT